AACCCACCAGCCACTCCTCGGAAGGAAGGTTGGGCAATCCTACTTCCGTAGTGATACTGCCTCGAAAACCCAAGGAGGGGTCGCTATGAGTTGGGGGCCGACTCGATGGCACATAACAACAACAACAACAACAATCTGCCTTCAGAGCCTCTAGTATGTTTAATGGTTTTGGACTTGAGTCATAGAAGTCAAAGATTTATAGTCCCTTTTATCTATCAATTAGAACTGTTTACTGTATGTCTGAAAATTACTTGCTGTGTGGAAGCATTTGGGCCAACCCTGATGTTAAACTGTGGTCATTCTTCAGAGGCCTTAAAGCCCAAGCAGTTGGGTCCAAGTCTTTTCTGATTTCCCCTGAACAGGGTATGAAGTTATGAAACCAGATGTGATCTTCAAGTTGGAACAAGGAGAAGAGCCATGGATTGTAGATGGAGAAATGGCAAGTTCAGACTCTGCAGGTGAGTGTATGAGAGCCAGGCAGAAGGGAGAAGGTAGAAGTTCAGTCTCAGTTGGTCATTGATGGATTAGCATCTTGAAATATGCTTTAGATGGCGCTTTTCAAAACCTCTGAAGCTTTAGTGTTTATTTAGAACATTCATAATATGAGCTACCTGGGTCAGTCTTAAGATACAGCTTCTTTGTAGCTTAAAGTAAAGTATTCCTGCTTATTTGGGCCATGAAGTTAGCACCTCTCTGTTATATCTAGGACTTTGACTTCTTGTCTGTTGTTTGGTCCCCTGGTATGTTTAATCTCCTTATGAGCCCCTTCTATTATGGTAAGAGACATCTGTGTGGTATACTCTAGATTGCTCATTTTTCCCTCATTTTGGTTGTCTCTGGTCCCTGGAGCATAATCTTGGGAAGTCCACTCTGTTCATTTTCTTTATATGAAAAAATGGAATCTTCATTCCTCTCAATTTGTCCTTATCCCCCCCCTCCTTTTTTTTTAAAAAAAAAAACATCAATGATGTTTGTTTATTTACTTAATTATTTTGTTACCAGGGTGAAAAACATACCAAAATACTTACTAATACAACCTCTCCATTTACAATTCAGTGACATTGATTATATTTTTCATCTTGTGCTTCCAATATTGCTGTCCTTTTCCAAAACAGTCTACTGCCAATAGCATAAACTCAGTGTCCCCTAAACTAGAGCTCCCTGTTTCCTCCTCCTGCCCACTCTTATAGCCAGTAATAACCTTTGGTTTCTGTGTATTTGCTTGTTTCACATAAGTGAGGACCATACAGTATTTGTCCTTTTGTGACTGAGTTATTAGGAGCTCTGGTGGTATAGTGCCTAACACATAAGACTGCTAACTAGAAGGCTGGCGGTTCAAACCCACCAGCCACTCCTTGGAAGGAAGATCGGGCAGTCTACTTCTGGAGTGATACCACCTCACATACCCAAGGAGAGGTCGCTGTGAGTCGGATCTAACTCAACAGCAGTGCGTTTGGTTTCTTTTTTGGTTTATACAGTATTTGTCCTTTTGTGACTGAGTTATTTCGCTCAGCATGTTTTCATAGTTCATATGATTTGTGGCATGCAACAGAGCTTCATTACTCTTTATGCTTGTATGCTATTCCATTGTTGGTATGTATCACATTTTGCTTATCTGTTCATCCGTTGATGGACAGCTTGGTTGTTTGCACTTTCTGGCTATTTTGAAAAGTGCTGCAGTGACCATTGGTGGACAGGCTTTGCTTTGCGTTCCACCTTAGTTTCTTGTGATACATACCTGGGATTGGGATTGCTGGGCCTTAGGTAGTTTTATGTTCATCTTTTTGAGGAACAGCATAACCGTGTTCCACAGTGATTGAGTTTTGAACATTCCCATCAGCAGTGAAAGAGGGTTCCAGGTTCTTTGTAGCCTTGCTACCACCTTTTGTTTTCTGTTATTTGAGGTGATATCTCATTGTGGTTTTGATTTGCTTCTCTCTAATGGCTAATGATGTTGTAAATCTTTTTATGTGTTTGTTGGCCACTTGAATATCCTGTTTGGTGAACTGTCTGTCAAGTCCTTTGCCTATTTTTTTTGGTTGTTTTCTTTTTTGTTGTAAGTTATAGATGTTTTGTGTATATTTTTGATAATAGGCCCTTATCTGAAAATATTTTCCAATTTGTAGGTTGTCTCTTCACTTTGTTGATAAAGTCCTTTGGTAAAATGTGTTTATTTTTTATGAAGTCCCATTTATCTGTTTTCTTTTTTTGCTGTTTCAGCTTTTGTCATCATGTCTGATAATCTATCATTAAATGTTAGGTGCCACAACCTCCCCCCTGTATTTTCTTCTAAGAATTTTTTGGTTTTAGTTTCCACATATTAAGTTTTTGATTCGTTTTTTCTGTGTGATGTGAAAGATCCTGATTATTCTGCATGTAGAAATCCAAGTTTTCCAGTGCCGATTATTGAAAAGACTCTTTTTCCCCATTGAATGGACTTAATTGAAAATCACTTGACCACAGATGTATGGATTTGTTTCTGGACTTTCAATTTTATCCTATTATTCTTTATGTCTGTTGTTGTACCAGTACCAGGCTATTTTGATTACTGTTGCTTTTTAATATTTTTTGACATCTGGAAGTGTGAGTCCTCCTACTTTATTCTTATTCAAGGTTGCTTTAGGTAGTTGTGGTCCCTTGCCCTTCTATATAAATTTGAGGATTGGCTTTTCTGTTTCTACAAAGGCGGCTGTTGACATTTTGCTGGTGATTGCATTGACTTTATAGATTGCTTTGGATTTTATTGACATCCTAACTTCCTAACTGTTTTAAGCCCCAGCAACATGCGTATGATGTTTCTGCCCCGAGAATCCCACTAGTCATTCAGCCCACAAAGTTTTTATTCTGCCTGGCACATAGCAAAATCCTGGACTCCCAGAAGGAGATTTTATGTTCAGCGTAGATCATAGTGCCTGTGCAAACATAGTGGGCACAGTGATCCTGCCATTCAGTTAAGGAATGGTGGGAATGTTGTCAAAACCCAAGTGCCCAGGCACCAGCAGGCCTTTTTGAGGAGAGTAGTCTGTGACTTGCAGTTGACCTTTCTCTGTATAGACTGGTTTTGCAATTCAAAGAAAAATAAATAGTTATGTTACTCTCTTTCTGTGACACTGTGCTGGGTGCTGTGGTTAATGTACTGAACTTCAGAGATTTAGTCATGGCCTTGGAATGTTTCCTTCCTAGTGGAAGAATTAAAGCAAATAACCAAGATACATTCTAGACCATTTTAAGTTCAATGATTAATAAGGAGATAGAGCTGATTTAATAGAGAATGTGTAGCCAGCAAGCTGTGAGAATTAGGGGGAAGGAAGCCTCCCAACAGGCATGGCAAATGTGAAGGCCTCAAGTCAGGTGTTTGGAAAAGATGTTGCATTAGGTTGCTTTCTTGATAATGTTGAAGATGTGCATGGCCAGTTTAAATAAAACTTTCTGCAAATGTGAGAGTGGGAAGAAGTAAATAAAGTAATTATTATCCTTCAAGCTTGAAATGGTTGGAGCTAATTACTCTTTCAGATCTCTTCATTTTCTGCTTGGTTCTTACCACAATGTACAATTGTGTTCTTTAATATTACTTATTACTTATTGTTCCCACTGGAATGTAAATTTTGTAATGGCAGGGACTTACGGCTTGTTGTTCTTTTTTTTTTTTTCCTTTTCAAATCAAGGCCATATCAAACCCAGCACTTGGCATGTGTTTCAGTTTTTTTTTTTTACATTGCTCTTTCCATATTTCATTGTCATTGTAATTGTTTCACATCACAGCTACTTTAACCTGTGCCCCCAACCCCCACACTTCCTGTCCCCACCTCCCCTGTGGAAATGATACTCTGAAAAATGCACTTGGAGAAATCCCATCCTAGACCTGGAATGGACTGGAAAATATTTTGTGTAGATTTAGACACAAACTAAATTTTATCTTCCCTGCATGCATGTTTTTATAATACAGGTAATATAACTAACTACATTTCAGAAACCTTAGGGAATAGAGAATTATTATTTTGTATTCTGTTTCTTTTTAAATTATTTTCCTTCACCCAAGTTACTATGTCTACCCTCTATATAGCGATTTACCCTCCCTTTACCTCCCACCCCTGGTAACTGTCAAAGAGTATTTATTTTTTTGTGAAACCCTTTTCTTGACTTTCTGTAGTAGTGATCTCATATAATATATGTCCCTTTGTGATTGACTAATTTCAGTCAGCATAATGGCCATGTCATGAGGTGTTTTGCAGATTCATCTTTGTTCTTTAACATTGCATAGTAGTCCATTGTGTGTATGTATCATAGTTTGTTGACCTGTTTGTACATTAATGGGCATTTAGGTTGTTTCCATCTTTGTGCTGTTGTGAATAGTACTGCGCTGAATATGGTTGCGCATATATCTCAAGGGTCTTATTTCTCTAGGTATATACGTAGTAGTGGGATTGCTAAGGAGGTCTGGTGGCTCAGTGCCTAAGGTATTTGACTGCTAACCAGAAGGTTGTTGGTTCAAACTCACCAGCCGCTCCATGGAAGGAAGATGAGGCATTCTACTTCCATAAAGATTTACCACCTTGGAAACTCAGTGGGTGTTGCTGTGAGTCGGAATCGACTTGATGGAGGTGGTGTTTAGTGGGCTTGCTGGATCATATGGTTTTTCTATTTCCAACTTTTTAAGGGAGTGCCATACCATTTTCCACAGTAGTTGTACTGTTTTACAGTCCCACCAGCAGTGTGTGAGGGTTCCAGTGTTTCTACACCCTGACCAGCATTTATTGTTTTCAGTTTTTTTGATCTTTGGTATTCTTGCTGGGATGAGATGATATCTGATTGTTGTTTTTTGATTTGCATCTCTCTAATGGCTCTCTAAGGAGCTCTGGTAGCATAGTGCCTAAGGCACTTGACTGCTAATTAGAAGATTGGCGGTTCAAACCCACCAGCCAGTCCTCGGAAGGAAGATGGGGCAATCTACTTCCTTAGTGATACTGCCTCGGAAACCCAAGGAGGGGTCGCTATGAGTTGGGTCCGACTACATGGCACATAACAACAACAATGGATCTCTAAAAGGAGCTCTGTGGGACAGTGCCTAAGGCATTTGATTGCTAACCAGAAGGTTGGTAGTTTGAACCCACTAGCCACTCCGCAGAAGGAAGACTGGGCAATCTACTTCTGTAAAGATTTACTACCTCAGAAAGCCAGGAGGGTCACTATGCGTCTGAATCAATTAGATGGCAGTAAGTTTGGTTTTGGTTTTTCCAGGGGCTAATGCTTCTGAGCATTTCTTCATGTGTTAGCTGTGATGGCTTCTTCTTTATGTGTCTTCATCGTTTCACTCATTGCCTGGAATGTACCAGTTACCCAGTGGGTATTGCTGAATGAGTGAATTAATCTCTGAGAACAGTGGCTCCTTGCTTCTTCCAGCCTTTTGTTTGTCCTCATTGCTCTTACGTAATTTTAATATTCTTTTCCCATTTAATAAACATATTTGTCATGAAGCAAAGGTCATCTAATCTACTGTCAGCTTCCTGTTTTCAACATGTATTTTTCATTACCTAGAGGACAGGCATTCTACTTGGTATTTGCCAAAACTTAGAAATTAAGATGAAAAAGTGGTTTGTCTGTCAGCATAGCACTTCTCAGTTTTTTATTCAGTAAGCACAGTCATGGAGAGATTGACAGGTTTTTTGTTTTCTTTATAGAAGTCTGGCAAGTAGATGGTCATGTGCTGTGGCATCAGGATAACCAAGACAAGCTGAAAAACACACAAAGAAGTCATGGATGTGATGCCTTTGGGAAAAAAATCAATCTAAGCATGAACTTTCTTCCTGTAATGAAATCACACAATGAAGGTGACTTTGATGGAATAATTTTAAAGCATCATTTAGATTTACTTATTCCAAAGGCTGATTATGAAGAAACAGAACCAAATGACTTTAATGTATTCGATAAATTATTTCTGCATACCAAACCTGAGGAAACTGATTGGTTAAAATACTATGAATGTGATAAATATGACAAAATTAGCTACAAGAAGTCACAGATTGTCATATATCACAGAAATCGTTCAGGGGAGAAACTCTATGAATGCTGTGAATGTAGGAAACGCTTCAGCAAGAAATCAAATCTCATTAAACATCAGAGTAGACATATAAGAGAAATAGCCTATGGCTGTGGTAAATGTGGCAAAAACTTTCCCCAGAAGTCACAGTTTATTACCCATCACAGAACACATACAGGAGAGAAACCTTATGATTGTAGCCAGTGTGGGAAAGCCTTCTCCCAAAAATCACAGCTCACATCCCATCAGAGGACACATACAGGAGAGAAACCCTATGAATGTGGGGAATGTGGAAAAGCCTTCTCCCGGAAGTCACATCTTATATCACATTGGAGGACACACACAGGAGAAAAACCCTATGAATGCAGTGACTGTGGTAGAGCCTTCAGTGAAAAGTCAAATCTCATTAATCATCAGAGGATTCATACAGGAGAAAAGCCTTTCAAATGCAGGGAATGTGGGAAAGCTTTCAGCAGGAAGTCACAACTCATTACACATCACAGGACTCACACAGGAACAAAACCCTTTGGATGTAATGATTGTAGAAAAGCCTTCTTTGAAAAGTCAGAACTCATTAGACATCAGACAATTCATACTGGAGAGAAACCCTATGAATGCAGTGAATGTAGGAAAGCATTTCGAGAAAGGTCAAGTCTTATTAATCATCAGAGAACCCATACTGGAGAGAAACCCCATGTATGCATTCAGTGTGGGAAAGCCTTCTCTCAGAAGTCACATCTCATATCCCATCAGATGACACATACAGGAGAGAAACCTTTTGTGTGCAGTAAATGTGGGAAAGCTTTCAGCAGGAAGTCTCAGCTTGTTCGACATCAGAGAACTCACACAGGAGAAAAACCTTACGAATGTAGTGAATGTGGCAAAGCTTTCAGTGAAAAATTAAGTCTCACGAATCATCAGAGAATCCACACAGGAGAAAAACCTTACGTATGTAGTGAGTGTGGGAAGGCCTTTTGTCAGAAGTCACATCTCATATCCCATCAGAGGACTCATACAGGAGAGAGACCCTATGAATGTGGCGAATGTGGAAAAGCCTTTGGTGAGAAGTCAAGTCTTGCCACTCATCAGAGAACTCACACAGGAGAAAAGCCTTACGAATGCAGCGACTGTGACAAGGCCTTCTCACAGAGGTCACAGCTCAATACCCACCAGAGGATTCACACAGGCGAGAAGCCCTATGTATGCAGTTTTTGTAGGAAGGCATTTTTTGAGAAGTCAGAGCTGATTAGACATCAGAGAACTCATACTGGAGAAAAACCGTATGAATGCAGTGAGTGTAAAAAAGCTTTCAGGGAGAAGTCAAGTCTCATTAATCATCAGAGAACACATACAGGAGAGAAACCTTTTGAATGCCGTGAATGTGGCAAAGCCTTCTCCCGGAAGTCACACCTCATACCACATCAGAGGACCCATACAGGTGAGAAACCCTATGGATGCAGTGAATGTGGGAAAACGTTCTCCATCAAGTTCAGCCTTACTCTGCACCAAAGAACCCATACAGGTGAGAAACCCTATGGATGCAGTGTGTGTAGGAAGGCCTTCTCTCAGAAATCACAGCTTGTTAATCATCAGAGAATTCATACAGGAGAGAAACCTTTTCAATGCAGTGAATGCCCAAAAGCCTTCTCCCAAAAGTCACAGCTCATTAATCACCAGAGAACTCATACAAAAAAGAAACCCTAGAAATAAAACAAGTAGGAGATATGCATATGACAGAAATTATCCTTCATTGTACTGCAGAAGTTGCAGTTATGGTTCACACCACACTGTATGTCAGAGAACTCATTTAAGGTTGCAACTCTGTAAGTGAGGTTATGAAGGTTTCAACAGCTAAAGATAGTTAAATAAGAGAACTCAGAGTAGAATGAGCCTACAAATGCACTGGATTTCAAAAACTTTTCAAATCACAGCCAAAGCTTGTATCATGGAAAATTCACCATGAAGAGAAATCCTGTGACTATCAGAAAGCTTTCCAAAGGTGAAATTTTATTAGCTGTTGCAAATATTGCCACTGATATAAACTCTAATGCAGTGAGGGAGGCACAATCTTCAAGAAAGGATAGCTCATTGTACACCAGAAAACATCCTCAGGAATGAAATTATATGAAAATACTAAATACGGGATTATCTTCACCAAATAATCCAGCTATATTGTATTTTGGGGAATTCACATGGTATGAAACTTAATTCAAAGACATTGGAAACATGTTCCCTAGAGATAATGCTATAAGGGAAGCCATACATGTTTTATTGACATGGGTACCAAAAACACCCAGTTCTAAATGGTTGACAGATGTCTTCTCTGAAATAGGAAACTTTTAAACTTTTAAAATATGTGAATAAATTCAATAATCAAAATATCTGAATAAGAAATTTCTTAGTGATGTTCATGGCTTACTTTCCTTTGTCGCATAATATGTTTCATATTTTGGGATTGCATATGATAATTTAAAGTAATTTGAAGCATAAAATGCACATGCCTTATAGTGCCTCTGATGTCTGTTAAGGACACACTATGTGCCACTGATTTTTCAGTTCTAGTAATGCTTTAAAAATGGTAGTTGTTATAACAGGGCTTTTTGCTCAGTAATGGACTCCTGGTTGCACAATGGTTAGGCACTCAGCTGTTAACTGAAAGGTTGGCGGTTCAGACCCACCCAGTGGTTCCTTGGGAAAAAGACATTGCAGTCTGCTCCTGTACAGATTATAGCTTAAAAATCCCTATCAGGTAATTGTACTCTGACATGTGGGGTCACTCTGAGTCCAAATCTACAGGACTTAACAATAGCAACATTTCTAAATAAGTATTTTAAGTAATAATACTGTGTTTCTTTTTTCTTACTGTTTGTTGGCACATATAACGAGTTTATTTTTACTGGAGTGTCTGAGTGGTGCAAACAGTCAACACTCTTGGCTGCTGACTAAAAGGTTGGCAGTTCAAGTCCACCCAGAGGCTCTTTGGAACAGAGGCCTGGTGATCTAAACTTTGTGGAACTCAGTTCCTCTCTGATACATATGAGGTTACTATTAGTCAAATTGACTCAGTGGCAACAAGTTTTTTTTTTTCCCCTTGTTGTTACTGACCTTTCCTTTCATGATAGAAGCCAACACTATACAAAGTCTTCTACCATGTCCGAATCTAAGAAAATATTTATCTAAAACACTGTTGATAAACATGCAAAGACAAGATGATTTGGAATGATAAAAAGATGATGAGTAAATGATAGAAAATAGTGCTGTGGAGCCTCTTTTTTCTGTTACTGAGACACCTGCATACATTCAAGTATGTGCATCAAATCTGTTTCCCAGGTACAGCTTGCATGTTAATGTTGTATCATGAAGTAATGATACTGTGTGTTGGCATTTCATAAAATATTTTGTAAACAAATTAGATGGAGAAACCCATTTAAGAGTCATTGTTCAGAAAATGTCAAATATAGAGAATTTTGCAGTGTGAAATATATTTTTGGCATATTCAAGGAATGCTTTGCCTTCCTGCAAATTTCAGTATGCTTCTAGTTGACAATGACAAACCATTTAAGTTACAGTTTTGTAGTTTTTGCTTTATAATGTTGCTTGACAAAGTTAAAAGTACTTTTTTGCATTTTAATGACATGCAGAAGCTGAACATTAAGCTTGATTTTAAACCAAGAAAGATCAAGTTTATCTTCTAGTGCACAAATCAGTACACAAGTATAACTTGTTGTGTCTTTGATTCTATCAGTATTTTTTCCTTTAATTCTGCAACATTGTTGAAAAGTTTGTATTTTAAATGAGAGTAATTTTCTGAATCAACATACCAGAATTTCAAAGCCAAATAGTCCTATTTTTCCACATGATTTAAGGGATACAGTTTTCCAATTTTTAATTCATAATCAAATTTGTGGTCTTCCTGTTTTTCTTTCTACTATCCGAATTTTCTTTGCAGATGGGAGAAATGGACCTTGGTAAACTATTATATAGTTACAGGGCAATATTCTTTGTCCTACATTGTGTTTTTTAGTTTTTCCCCTTTTTTTCTGTTCCATTATGAATCTCTTCCTTAGTGTCAGAGATTGATTCATTTGATCTTTGATAAAGTTCATAACTCTCTGTTGTTTAAAATTTTTCTAATTGTCCTCACTCCAACTCTAGAATATTCCTTTATCTAGTAAGCTATTAAATCTGTTACTTACTTCACTGGTTAATGGAACTTTGCCGCTAGCATATAGATTGAATGCCCAACAGCAAAACATTTGGCACGTTAGTCATAAGAGAGGGGTGAATTCTAATTTTTCCAAATATTTCACCTTATCTGAGGACTTGGATATATCCAGTTGCACCCACTGGTAGCTCTCCATTGTTCTAAAGTACCATGAGAGGGCTCCAGTTTGGAAGTTAGAGATTATTAATGCTAATTTTTAAAATTACTTTGGTGGTAAACCACAGAAAACATATCCCCACATTTCCTCTCATTGATTTCTACAACAAACTCTATGTCAAGAAGAAAACCAGTTTTATTATTATTATTTTAGTGGAAATACACACAGCAAACATCCGCCAATACAGCTTCCCCATTTACAAATCAGTGACATCGCTATTTTTCATGTGTTGCCACCATTATTGTTACCCTTCATCTAGACATTACACTGCTATTAAGATAAACTCATTGTTCCCCAAACAAATACTCCCCCTTTCCTTCTTCCTCCCACCCCTGTTAACTGTTAATAATCTGGTTTCTGTATAATTTGTTTTTTCACATAAGTGAGCTGATACTCTACTTGTTGTTTTGCAGCTGACATGTTTTGCCTAGCATTATGTCTTTAAGGTTCATCCATGTTGTTGTTGTAGGCACTAGAACGTCATTTCTCTTTACAGCTGCATAATATCACATTGTATTATAAGTTTATCCACTCATATGTTGATCGACATTTATGTGGTTTCCACCTTTTGTCTGTTGTGAAAAGACATTGAACATTGCTATACAGGTTTCTGCTGATGGTCTTCCCTTCATTTTCTCTGGGTGTATACATAGGGTTAGGATTGTTAGGTCATATGGTAGTTCAGTGTTGAACTTTTGAGGAACTGCTGAATCGTGTTCCACAGTGGCTGTCCTATTTTACATTCCTAGCAGCAGTGTATGAAGGTTCCAGTTTCTTCATAGCCTTTCCAACACTTTACTTTTCCTATGTATTTATACATCCCACTTGGGGTGAGATGATAGCCTTGTGGTTTTGGTTTCCATCTCCCTAATGGCAAATGATGTTAAACATGTTTTCATGTGCTTGTTAGACATTTGAATGTTCTCTTTGGTGAACTGTCCAAGTCCTTTGCCCATTTTTTGACTGGATTATCTTTTTGTTAAAGGTTAAGTTGTAGAAGTTTTATCTATACCTATATTTAGTATTAGACCCTTAACTGATAAATGATTCTCAAAAATCTGGAAACTCTGTTAATGTTAGACCAGAGTAGTTTTGATTCCAGCAATCACTGTCAGTTACATTGAGATGGAGTGAAGGAAGCCAAACATGTCTCATCATTTAGTTTCTTACACCGACCTAGCGGTGTGCATTGTCTAGAGAGGACGATTTACATTGTATCCCTTTTACAAAGTATTAGGATTTTTTGAGGCTCAATTTGTGAATTTTGAGATCTCTTCCAGGAGTGCCTTCTGTTTATCTTTTCTTTATGGGGCCTTGGTATTCTCTTACATAGTTATGTCTGTATGAATGCATATGTCCCAATGTTTTACTTTCAAGAAGATCAGTTATAGAACTCTAACATGAAATGAACCCAAATAATACCACATTGATCTAACATTACCTTTATTAAATAATATAGATCAGTAGGTATTTGAAATCTTCTGAGTTTTTATTTTAGCAGTATAAATCCAGGTTGTCAGTTTCAGTGGGTTCATCACCTACAGATATGGTACCTGCTAAAACGGCAAGGAGGCATCATGTTCTGACCTCTTCTGATCCCACAAGAGGAAGGCACAATCACCATCAATAGCACAAGGCCTATTACTGCAAGGCCAGACATGCTGCCTCCCTCCAGCCCTTTCTCCAACCGTTCCTCCCAAAGCACCCACCACCTCTCTCCTGGGTTCGATAATTCGCTGCAGTGGCCACACAGAACTCACAGATTATGAGGTTTATTAGGGAAGCACCAGGTTACAATTCAAGTTCAGGGAAAATGCTCAGTCTCTCTCCCAGCCCACCGTCCCTCAGCCAAGAGTCTCTCACAGTCTCTTTCCCAGCAGTGCTGGTCCCTCGGTGTCTCACTCAGCAATGCGTGTCTCTTGCGTCTCTTTCCCAGCAGCACGTGTCTCTTTCAGGGGCGCGTGTCTCTTTCGGCAGCATGTCTTCCTCAACCAGCAGTCCGAGAGAGAGTTCTGCCCCTAGGAAGCCTCCTTTTGAGCCTGGCAGGGTGGTCAAACTAGCCAATCATAGCATCAGAACTCTAAGCACGTGAGAGAGAGTGGGACCCTCCCAGAACATTGTATTGTGCCACGCCCAACAGAAATAACCCAGGTGGGCAACTTTAGCAATCAGGATCTCCTCAGTTGCTAATAGCAATTCCCACCTTGGAGTTTACAAAGACTTATGGGTAGAAAAGCCACACTAAGTAATTTACTACACCACAGTACCAGTGTGCTAAGTGCTAATGATCTCATCCATGACACTTAAACAAAGCTGTATGAA